GGTACCGCCGCCAGGTGTCGGGTGGCGCGCGTCGCTGGTCGCTGCATCACCTGTTCGACAACGTCTGGGTTCAGAGTGGGGGACTTGGAGTTCAGGAGGGTATTGAAGAATCTCCGCCACCGCTTGAGGATGGCATCCTTGTTCCGGAGTAGCACGCCGTTCTCGTCTGTAACGAACTGCTGCCCCCCAGCTTGTCTCCCGCTGAGGCCCGTTGACCGCTTGAGGTGTTGTAGGAGTGCGCACGAAGAAGCCCGCTCCGATCTTCGACCAGAACGAAGATGAGTTCGCCGTGCCGCAGGCTACGAAGGACGCCATCGAGTCGTTCGTAGTGCCGGCCGGTTTCCAGAAGGAAGGAAGCCGCGAGGACTCCTTCCTTTTTCAGCCTTGGAAACTACATTGTGCCAGCTGGTATTGTAAGCAGGACATCGGCGGAGAACAAAGCTTAAGCTTCGTTTAGGTGCCAGCTTGGCCAGTGCCGGACTGCAAAAAACGGCAAGATCATCAAGTGTCCGAGGGGGAATAAAGAGCAACGTCAACAAGGACTTCCGTGAAGACAACAAACTGAGGGGCTCAAAGGGGGTAGTGAGGACCAATCGTGCGAGGACCGCGCAAGGGAACATCGTCGCAGCTATGACGGCGGCGAAGACGTTTGGCGTTGGAGAACGAAGGTGTGTGCTGGTGTTGCTGGTGTGACATACAGCGTGGGGTTTTTTAGTACGGCAGTGTAGACTATTTATAATAGTTGAGTGTTTAGTCTAGTACTTTTTTTTGTACTCTATGGTAGTACCAGTACTTACAGCAGTATCGACGGTTGTACTGCAACCTCGACAGTAGTGAGTACTCAAAAAGTACAGCAGTACGTTTTTTTTTAGTACAGCGGTAGTGGTGGTGTTAGTGTACTAAAATAATAATAATACTCAATACATACATAGCACAGCGGAAAAAAAAATAAAATAGAGATCGTAAATGAGAATGATGAAGTTTGTAGAAGTAGAAAAAATAGCCTCCCCGTCAATTTTATGGAGAGTTGGCAAGAAGGCACGTCTGATCTCTCCCTTCTCGCCGGTGTATGTGTTCGCGTTGCAATGTCTGCTGCAATTTTTATTTTTGTTTCCCTCAAGGGTTAAGGAACTGCAGGCGGTCAAGCTGCTGGTGCAGAAGCTGCTGCCGTTTTCCTTCTTCTCCAAGGGCGACATGTTCAAGGAGATGATGGCGACTGCTTCAGGGAACACGTCGTACCCCGAGCTGCCTCCGAAGCGTGTGAAACACCTCATCGTCGAGATCTACCGCGCCACGAAGAAGGTGAAGCGCTAAAGCCCAGACCGCGAAATTTCGTTTTTGCTGTGTCGGTTTAGACTATACGACGCGAAAAACGTGGGTGACATGAGTACTGACAGCCAAACGAAAAAAAAATGATAATCTTAATCTTTTCACTTCCTTTTCATACCCACCGTCGTTTCACCGCAGGCGGTTGTGGGCGACATGTTGGAGGAAGTGCGGAAAGCACCGCTGCCCATTCTACACCACATGATCGACCTCTGGACTGACAAAGCGTCGGGGCGCAAGTTCCTCGGTGTCCATCTTTTCTACGTGACCACCGACTTCGAGCTGAAGCAAGCCCTGCTCTCTGTGGGTAAACCGCCTAGTGTTGAACGTAAAACTCAGAAAAAACTTTCTATTGCCACAAAAGCCCAAAGATCGTCGTCGGAGACTCAACACGCAACATGAACACTTGTAATTTTTCTGAGCCCGTCGGGAATTGAAATAGAGGGGTGGTGAGGATCAAGATTAAGATTTGACCTTTTGGGGGCTGGTGTTACTTTTTGGTCCGTTGACGTTTATGTTTGATCATGCCTTGCCTTTGCTCTTTGTGTTTCACCGAGAGATCGTAACGGACGTTCATTTTTTTTTGCGTTCTTCAGCACTGACCAAGGCCATATTGTATGAACATTAACATTTACATCTTCACCTGACATACAGGTTGAACACCATTTTTTTTTTTTCTATCACCTCCATGTCCGCCCGTATGTATTCCGCCCAGATCAAGCGCTACTCCCCCTCCCAGGACGCTCTGGGAGAGGCGGCGGCTTCGGAGGTACTTCTCGAGATCTTCAAGTCAATCCTGCGCGAGTTCGGCCTCCGCCCATCGGACCTCGCCTCGGGTACTACGGACAGTGGGTCGGACGTCAAGTCCGCGAGCGTCAACGGCCTCTACCCGCAGTACGGGGTTCTGTGGAATTGGTGTTTTTGCCACCTGATGGTCAAGGCCGCCGAGGACGGCTTCGGAACCCACGTCGACCCCCAGAAGTCCAAGAACCCGGAAGCGCGCGACATGCTCAAGAACGTCATCAGTATGGTCGGGACCCTCAACAGATCTTCCAACTTCAAGGCTAAGTTCGAAGACCTTCAGGTGGACCTGTTGGGCGATGTCCTCAAGATCCCCAACCAAGCTCCTCAACGGTGGCTCACCCAGGTTCGCACACTGGAGCGCGTCATCCGCTTGTGGCACGTCCTGAGGAAGCTCTACAGCGACGCGGGAAAAAACTTTCCACTCGAAGAGGGCGACAACAAGAACGCTATCCTTCAGCTCTTCTCGCTGCTGCAGTCCCTTTCCTCCGTCACGCGTGATGGCCAGTACGGGAATGCGCCGATGCAGGCGGACGTCTTCATGAAGTTTGGCGAGCTCAAGATGGAAGTACTGGACCCGTCGAAGCCTCTCAAGGTCTTCGACATCCCGCCGCTCGGACAGGACGGCCTCCCGGATCGCGAGGAACAGAAGAAAGCTCTGCCGCACAAGATGGTGGAACCCGACGACTTGCACCCCGTGGCAAAGAAGGCGCGCAGCAAACTCGGCCGCGCGCTCGTGTCGAGGCTGTACGGTCGTGTGTGGGACCACAACACCCTGGATCCCTCCTTCTTCTGCGATGCCTCCTGCCTCCTGACGCCGCCGTTCAGTGAGGGGCACCACCTTTCCGCGATGAAGCTCACAGCGGAGGAGCACGCCTACTTGCCCGCCGGGTCAGTCGTGGTGGCCCCTACGTCGTATGAAGAGGTGAAAGAAAAGCTGGATGGAGTTTGGACCAAAATCAAGCAGGGAGCCGTCAAAGCCGTGAAGACAGCGCAGAGTGAGGCGGAGGGCAGTGGTGGGGACGGGAGCGGCGGTCTGTTCAAGCGCGCCCGCACTAGGCACTCGGGTTCATCTCGTCGCAAGAATCCGGAGGAACACCAGTTCGCATGTTTCGGGCGCACCGAAACCACCCAGGAGGACAGCCAAGGAGAGTCGGATGTGGTGGAGGACGATGTTGGGGGCGAGATCATGCGATACAAGGGAGTCTTCATCAAATCAACGCAGGTGGGTATAACAACGACCACGCAGATATGCACGTGGCCACAATGTGCTCATGTAAAGCATAGAGTAGTATCGTATACGTTGACGTTGCCTATTTTATTTTTCCTTCGTCTCTGCCCAACAATAACAATCCATATACTTATGTTTTTATTTTGTTTTTTCTGTAAATAGGTGATCAGAAACCTAACCTTGTGTTTGGTACATTCCTCTGAGTCACAGCAGTAACCTCAACCTAACGGTTTGTCTTGGCTGTGGGCTGCACAGCGTTGTTAGCTTGTGTCTCGCATTTTACATTTTGTTTGTGCTGTCATAAACCGCGAATTGCAACTCAACACTACCAATACAACACCTCCAACACCTCCCGATTTTCCGGCGGCCCTTCCGTGCCCTGTGCCCTTCACCCTTCCAGTTGCCGCCCAGCGAAGTCCTCAGCTACTGGAAGAGCATAGGGAGACACTCATTTCCCGCCCTCAAGTATGTGGCGCAGCAAACATTCGGCAGTCAAGCCTCTGCCGCTCAGGTCGAGAGTGACTTAAGCGACTACGGTCTTTTTTGTGTGGGGAACCGCAGTCGTGTACACGAGTACTGGCTGGAAATGGTGATGTTCCTCAAAGGAAACAAGTTTATTCCCCCGCAAGGATATCCCCAACATCGACCGGAAGGACATCAGGGCGTGTCTCCCTGCCAAATTCACCGGAAGAAACGACGACCTCCTCAATGCAGAGATGGCGCTTGACCCGATCTCAAACACCACGCCTCCCCATGAGGATGACGTCGGCGTTGGCAAGTAGTCTGGTGTTAACTCTGACCAGTATTGAGGGTTAGGATTAGGACGCGCTGCTGTAGTGACCAGTGACGATTACAACTGCAAATTCGGAGGGACGGGCCGGTGGAGCATCGGGGCTTCCGGGGGGGGGGTTCCGCGTGTTGTTGTTGTTGTTGTCTTCACATTAAGCCTTATGTCAGTTGCTAAATGCCAAAATCTAGCGAGTATTGCAGATTTATATTGACATCAAATGACGGTAGGCGTTAGGTCTAGGAAAGGTCTCCATGCTGTACTGTTGTGTACTATTGGGCCTAGTACGGGTCTTGATACTGTACTGTACTGCCTGTGGGTTTAGTATAGGTCTCCATACTGTACTAAACCTAACAATACGTTTAGTACGGGTCTCGATACTACTGTACTGTACTATGGGTTTAGTACGGGTCTCCATACTGTACTAAACCTAACAATACGTTTAGTACAGGTCTCCATACTGTACTAAATCCAGCAGTAGGTTTAGTACAGGTCTCCATACTATACTAAGACCAATGATGCGTTTAGTACGGGTCTCCATACTGTACTGTACTGTGGGTTTAGTACGGGTCTCCATACTGTACTAACCCCATTACAGTTTTCAGCTCTCCGATACTGTACTGTAATATGGGTTTAGTAGGGATTATCGGTACTGTACTAAAAATACTGTAATGTACTAAATCGACCCTTGCAATATATTTAACCTAGCGGGTTCTTTTCATCATGTTGATACACTAAATTCGTACTTCTGTGGTGATCAGGCCTGCCGGAGTATCAACTCTTTGCCTCACCCACCCCCGTGTGTTTTCTGAAGCCCGATAAGGATTCAGTTTCTGTCGCCGATATTCTCAGAACTTCTAGTCGAAAATGACCCCACTTTGTTGACCCCACCTAACGGTGACCCCACTCTCTGCATTTCACTTGGTTTTAGACTAAGCGGTCTCCGGTCTCTTCTTTAAAAACAAGTTGTTTTTCTTCGGTCGTTTTTTCTCGAGACTGTAACAACAGATTTTCGCATGGGTTGGAAGAGGTCATCAATGATTGATTCTATTTACGTCACCGGTGGCGTTATTTCTTATATACGTCACCGCCCGTATCTCAGCCCACAGAGCTTTAATTGGCACAAAATAAATTGCGTTGTGTAGCTATGACCCACACCAATCATACAAGCCTTTCGACGGTCAAATCCGATTAGTGGTTGCGGAGATATGCTCAAAAGGGGGCTCAGCGGTATGATATACTGTATCTGCCATAAATAAAACGACCGTGCCTCCTCGCAGAGAGTTCTCATCGACACCAACTATGTAACTCGCGTTGTGTTTCCACGATTCACAGCCATCACTTAAGCTATTATTGGTGTCGATCGGAGCTCTCTGCGCGAAGTTACAGTCGGATTTTTTTGTGGTAGATGCAGTAGTATCATACTGCTGAGCCCCCTTTTGAGCAAATCTCCGCAGCAACCACTTATCGGATTTGACCGTCGAAAGGCTTGTATGATTGGTGTGGGTCATAGCTACACAACGCAATTTATTTTGTGCCAATTAAAGCTCTGTGGGCTGAGATACGGGCGGTGACGTATATAAGAAATAACGCCACCGGTGACGTAAATAGAATNGTCGATCGGAGCTCTCTGCGCGAAGTTACAGTCGGATTTTTTTGTGGTAGATGCAGTAGTATCATACTGCTGAGCCCCCTTTTGAGCAAATCTCCGCAGCAACCACTTATCGGATTTGACCGTCGAAAGGCTTGTATGATTGGTGTGGGTCATAGCTACACAACGCAATTATTTTGTGCCAATTGAAGCTCTGTGGGCTGATATACGGGCGGTGACGTATATAAGAAATAACGCCACCGGTGACGTAAATAGAATCCTGAGTCTCTCATGGCCCGTTTGGCCTCTCCAGCGAGTTTCGTGCAAACGCTTGTCAGCTTGTGAGAACGCGTCCGTTGTTGCATGTTTCATTCTTAGATGTCCCCCGTGCGCGAACAACCGAACCACCCCTCCCTCATCTCTAGATTACCCCCAGTTGTACCCCCACTGGTCGCATGTACAACCGCACCCACGACGGGAAGGATGCACGTCCACGGTTTGTACAGAATCATGCACGAAAGCCGACGACTAAGGACACAGCCCTGTTCACAATGAGTGAAATATGCCTCAAACTTTCACCGACCACCGCCCACTGAGCAAGGCAAGGCAAAAGGAAGTGCTCGAAGGCAGAGCACATTCACCAGCACTGAAGTATGTAACCTCATGATTAGGATGTTTTCTGTACAAAACTCACTTTTCTCCAGACTGCTGTTGTTGTTGTCTTCCGTTCCGATCACTCTACCTAGTACCACCTTCGTATGTCCGTACTGATCCATGACTCGACGCGGCCGATTCCCGTGATCACAGCAGATACCCTAAAAAGGTACAGTAGAGGTCCCTGTTTAGTACTGGTTGAATAGTACCGGTTGCCGGTATAGTGCCGGTCAAATCTCGGCGCACAGAACCCGCCCTGAATAATAGTGCCAGATCAGCACTATTCAGGGCTGCCCATTATAGTGCTGGTTCGGGCCCCAGTGAACCCCACAATAGTGCAGGTTCAAGCACGCACGCACACACAACACCCGACTACCCAACAGTACCCAACATCATTCGTCTGCACCTTCCCAACATAACATATATGAGACACACAAGACAGCTACCAAACTGATTTGTTTGTTGAGCCTGTTACCCGCAGGGGGGATGTCCCTGCATGTATGCTGTCTGGGAAATCGTAGACATACAGGTAGTAGTTTTCTCTGACACTATGATTCCATTGTTCTTAATCTGTCTCTGACTCTTTTCTGTGATACAAGAGATGGAGTCGGAAAAAAAAGCGACACACAATCTTGTGAGTGAGTGTTGTTGTTGTTGTTGTCTTCACATTAAACCGTATGTTAGTTGCTAAATGCCAAAATCTAGCACAAGACTCTCAGCCCGTGGTCACGAAAGTGCTAGAGCCATCTGAGGATCTAAAGAACACGCACACATAAAACGAGAAAAAGGTATCCAAGAGCCCGAAGAGGTACACCTAAAAATCCCTGCAGCACCGTATGCGTGCCCAAAAACTGAACTGCACGTCCGTCCCACCGTTCGACTACAGTAGCATCACCCCCTCCCTGTCCCACTCTATACCAAAACGGAAGATTGCTGACTACAGCATACATACTGTCTGAAGTGCTGTCTGTGCAAAAACACCATGGTAGGCATGGAACAAGCAGCTGGCGGGGCACAAAGCTGCTGTCTGAAGTGCTGTCAGAATGTATCTGCGGCCGTACAGTGAAAAAGAACAACCAACCAAAGCCATCATAGCAGCAATTGACAATCACCCGAATCTCTCCCGATCGTCTGTGATAGGCACTGCAGTGAAAAATATCGAAACTAGCTAAGAATCGTTCCCAGTTTCAATCAAAACTGGGTCTCCTGTGGGGTCGAACCACGTGCAAGCTATATGATTTCGGCTCCGCCCTTGTCACGCCTCCACGTTCGGGCTCAACTCCCGTCGTTTTGTTCCAAAATCAAGTCGAAGGCGACGAACATGCCACTTTGATAGGACACGGTGAAAAAATCGGACACAACCGATGTTCGTACTCATCGACGGCAGCACTGTTGACTACGAAACTAAAGCTTACGAACGCATATAGGATACCATCAGGATTGTCATTGGTTTTATTTCAAGTTGAAGAGGAGATATTTTTACGATGTAAATGACAGTAGAAATAAGTCCTACTTATGTTGTTGTACTTCGTATTGGTTTAATATTCATGTAGAGTAGTCTATGAGTTTAAGTTTTCTGAGGTACATCTGCAATTGTCGGAAGGCAAAAAAAAAAAAAACTAACGTACATCGCTGCCGGGTCATACAGAGCACCTGTAAACGAAGTACGCTGTACGACACTCACCCAGGCGAAGCATGAGGGTGTTTCGTGCGTACTTAACGCCGATGAGGAGGTCTGCAATCCGTGACCATAATGCATCACAGTAATCAGGATGCTACGTGCGAGGACGTGCGGCGGCGAGTTTGTAAAAAAACACGTTCGTACGTGCACGAAACGCAACATTGGTGGGCAGTGGAACCGAGTGGAACAAAAAAAAAAAATTGTATCAAAGGTCTCACAGCAAATAGGCCTGTCCTCCATCGGCCGTTTTGCTTGTATGACGGAGATTAAGAAGGTGGAATTACTTGAAATTAGTATAGAAATAAAGTTTGTGTATCTAAATCGAAAATAAAACGGCCGATGGAGGACAGTCAGCAAGGTGTATGTGTATGTGTACATAGTCCACAACATGTAACATACAGCAGCAGTAGGACACACGCACGGTGAGCAGCGGAATCAGCGTCCTTATGAATCCTAGACGACCACCCAGAGGACGACATCGTCGTGGAACATCGGCNTCAGCAAGGTGTATGTGTATGTGTACATAGTCCACAACATGTAACATACAGCAGCAGTAGGACACACGCACGGTGAGCAGCGGAATCAGCGTCGTCATGAATCCTAGACGACCACCCAGAGGACGACATCGTCGTGGAACATCGGCTTACATCAGGAGCACTCGTCAAGAGAGGACTCGGGAAAATANGTTTGTGTATCTAAATCGAAAATAAAACGGCCGATGGAGGACAGTCAGCAAGGTGTAGGTGTATGTGTACATAGTCCACAACATGTAACATACAGCAGCAGTAGGACACACGCACGGTGAGCAGCGGAATCAGCGTCGTCATGAATCCTAGACGACCACCCAGAGGACGACATCGTCGTGGAACATCGGCTTACATCAGGAGCACTCGTCAAGAGAGGACTCGGGGAAATAACCGGGTTCGGGAAAGGCATCGGACGATTTACCAGACGACGTCCTCATTGTCGTGTAATACTGAGTACTTACTGAGAAGCTGCACGAACAGGATCGCGTCGCAGGCGAGGTCGCTGCTGTTTTTTCCGCTCTAGTCTACACTGTACACCACGGAGGTTCCATCATGCATGACCACCACTTGACTTTTATTTTATTATACTTTTTTTTTCTGTCCTATGCGCCAGCTGTTGATGTTTAGCAGATTGTAGAAAATTATCCACTGGTGTGCAGTAGCATACTTACAGAAGATTCGTAGACAATCATCAGCAATTATTGCAACAATGAAGAATGGACGTGTATTGTTCAGGTACGAACAACGACTAAGAGTGGACGATATTGTTATCGATGACGATTACGTCCACGGTGGTTCTAGCAGTGATGAAGTGGAGAGGATTGTGTTCAACAGGGAGATCCCGACTGCGGCGATTGAGACAACAGAAGGCCAAGAAAAGTGCAGAGATAGCGTAAATTTGAAGACTCCTCTTCGCGCGGAAACTCTCCTGCAAGGGCTGCAGGACTTTCGTGACCACATGTTCGCGGGTAGCACGCGGTGAGTGTCAGTAAAGTAGTAAGACTGAACTACTGAGGCAATATAATGACTTGTCGGCCTCGACGAGGGTGGTCGGTTAGAACGTGATATAATCCCCAAGTTTAGATCGAGCTCAATACTGCTGTACATCACACTTTTTTTGCTCACAGGTCTCCCTGTGCCGTGTGCGATAGGCTGACTTTGGTACGACGTCATCACGTGATTTCAGCAAGCGAGATTCCTAACAAACAACTGTTAAGGGCGGATGAAGCCCTTCGCAAGCATGAGAGGGTGATGGCAACTTTTCGTGGTTATGCAGGGGACACGGAGCGAGAGTTAGATACCCTTGTCCTAAGTAAGTTCGGAATCAAGCCAGAGGAACCGTACAAGATACATGTATGCGACGAGTGTTACCGGTCGTTGGCGAGGAA